CCTGGGTTCGGTCCTCAGCTCTGGGAAAAAAAAAAAAAAGAAGACAGGCCTGCCCTTAGGCAAATGGTAGTATCTTATAAAGATAAAAGGGAAAACCCCATATTAGGAAGAGGTACTTAATTTTGATTGGACAGGTTCATTAGAGTAGCCAAAGTAGCCAAAGGGGAGCTTTTGATTACTGGATGTTAATAGTTTGAAAGTTGGGCCTTGGCAGTCAGACTCAGGAGGAGAAAGTAGCCAAATAAGGGACTAAACCCTAGTGGCTAGCTTTAAGAACATAATCTAGGGGGCTGGAGAGATGGCTCAGAGGTTAAGAGCACTGACTGTTCTGTTCTTTCAGAGGTCCTGAGTTTGATTCCCAGCAATCACATGGTGCCTCACAACCATCTGTAATGAGACCTGAGGCCCTCTTCAGGGTTATCTGTATGTAGCAACAGTGTGTGTGTGTGTGTGTGTGTGTATATATATATATATATGTATACGTATACATATGTATGTATATAATGGTTTTTAGCAAGGGGAATGCTTGCCAGAGCCATGTTCACCATGCTCGGGCCTGCTAGAGTCCCTCCACTACTTGTTTCCTCTCACAATAGCCAACCTTCTTAAAGGTTGATAGCCTCCAAAAATGGTGCCAGCAATGGGGGATCAAAACTGCAAAATGTGAGCCTGTGAGAATCATTTCACTCAATCCACAACATCGATCATCTTTCAGACCACAGGGACCTTCACAAAAGAGTCTGGAGACCAGGCCATGAAGCCAGCAGAATTTCTTCATGTAGATGTGAAACTCCCACCAAGAGCTCATCTGTCCTACTTAGCTGTTGTGGTGGTTTGAGTAGGAATGGCCTCCCACAGACTCTTGTGTTTGAAGGCTCGGCTCATGGGGAGTGGCACTATTAAGAGGTGTGGCCTTGTTGGAGGAAGTGTGTCACCGTGGAGGCGGGCTTTGAAGTCTTCTATGCTCAAGCTAAGCCCAGTGTGGTATACAGTCTCCTGCTGCTACCTGCAGATCAAGATGTAGAAGTCTCAGCTCTTTCTCTAGCTCCATGTCGGCCTGCATGCCTCCATGCTTCCCGCCATGACAATAATGTAGGCCAGCCCCACTTAAACATTTTCCTTTATAAGAGTTGCCATGACCGTGGTGTCTCCTCACAGCAATAAAGCCTCTTAAGACAGCTGTCAACTTGACACAGTCTAGAGTCACCTGAGAATGGAGTCTCAATTGAGAAAGTGTCCGTTGTCTTAGTCAGGGTTCCTGACATCATGACCAAGAAGCAAGTTGGGAAAGAAACGGCTTGTTCAGCTTTCACTTCCTCATTGCTATTCATCACCAAGGGAAGTCAGGACTGGAACTCAAGCAGGTCAGGAAGCAGGAGCTGACGCAGAGGCCATGGAAGGCTGTGACTTACTGGTTTGCTTCCCCTGGCTTGCTCAGCTTGCTTTCTTATAGAACCCAAGACTACCGGCCCAGGGAAGGCACCACCCACAAGGGGCCCTCCCCACTTGATCACTAATTGAGAAAATGCCTTACAGCTGGATTCATGGAGGCATTTTTCTCAACTGAAGCTCCTTTCTCTGTGATAAGTCCGGATTGTGTCAAGTTGATACAAAACCATCGAGTACACCCATATTACACTGGCTGGTGGATATGTCTGTGGGAGATTGTTAATGATTGTAGGAGAGTCAAGCCTACCGTGGGCAACACCATTCCCTGGGCAGATTGCCCTGCGCTGTATGAGAAAGCTAGTTGAGCACGAACCTGTGGACAATGCAGTAAGCAGCACTTCTCTGTGGTTTCTCCTTCAAGTTCTTGCTTGTGTCCCTCCCCGACTTTCCTCAGTGACCTGAAGTATAAGACAAAACAAACTCTGTCTTCCCCTAAGTTGCTTTTGGCTGGGTTTTTAAATCACAGCAAAAGAAATAAAATTAGGATACTACCCCCTCCCCCGCCCCTGCTTACCTGCCTACTCTGGTGCCAACATGGTCTGGTGTCTGATTTTTGCTGGTTTTAGCCTAGAAGGTCTCATGGTTTTCATGCCCTAACAGACCTCGGAACGGAACCTCTAACTCCAAGCAGCATTAAGCTCTGCTCTTTAAACATCTGGGTCACAGATATGCTCAGTTAATTAATGCTCTTAGCACCGCTCATTTGCCTGCTGGATAATAGATTGATTCATAATTTCAATAAGCAGCTGTGTATATCTTTCCCTGGAACATAAAGGCAGCCTGCTGTCATTCATCAATTTGCATTTGGGTGAATTGAAACACACTTCAGGCGCCGTTGTTTAGGGAGGGGAAGGGAAGGCTTCTGGGTTTCTTACCATTTTACCTCGAACAATTACTCTGATTTGGAACTAATTTGCGTATGGCGCACACGTTCATGGCGTCTCTCTCAAGGACACTTAATAAGCTCACTATCATTTCTTCAAGGGGAGCAGGAAGGCTCCCTTTGGGAGATCAGAGCCAAGGGTTTCTGAGAACTCTTTCACTAAGGGATGAGAAGCCCTCCAGAAAAATCTTATCGCCAGAGGAGTCACTCCTGTTTCTGAGCAGTCTCCTCATGTCGTGGTTCCTTTGCTCACTGCTGTGACAAAAACACCCTACAACAAAGCTCAAGGAAGGAAGGAAAGGCTTGCTAGGGCTCACAGCCTAAAGTACAGTCTTGGTGGCAAAGGTTCCGTGGCATAATGGCGGCTGGTTACGTGGACTCCGTGGTCAGGAAGCAGAGAGAAATGAGAGCTGGTGTTCAGCCCACTCTCCTTTTGAATGAGTTCAGAATCCCAGGCTGAGAATGGAGCCACCCATATTTAGAGTGCATCTTTTTACATCAGTTAAATCCCAGAAAAACCCTCATGGGCATGTCCAGAGGTTTGTATCCTAGATGGTTCAAGACCCTGTCAACTTGCTGATTGAAAGTCGTCATTGTATTCTGTTATTTTCTTGGTTGATTCCTAAGCAGACTTCCTAGGCTCTCTGGAATATTCAGGGATTTTTTTTTCTAACAGTCTACAGACACACCTCTTCTGTTTAGCTGCTTGGGCCACAGGAGCCTGACATTTGTCTACCTGTTATGTGCCAGGGAACCAGTCAGATGTCTTCACGCCTCAGTTTCTTTACCTATAGCCTGGGATCCTAACCCCTCCACATAGGATTCTTTTTAGGGAACATTTCATAGCTAAACCACAGTGTGAGCCTAGATCATCAAGCCATTTAGCTGACCCACACAATCATTGGCAATAATAAGTGTAGAGTTTGTTATGCAGCACTTACTAACTATTACAGAGATGCTGTCCCTGTGATGGACTCTGTCTTGGGAAATATGTCAAGCCACACTATCTCTGAATCAATTAGCAAGTACTGCTTAGCAATGATAGAATCTGTTATCACCAGGTTGTGAAATTACATTATTTATTTCTTATATAGTACTTATAATGTAAAGTATACCTTAAATATATAACTAATATAACCAGTTGCCCAGATGGTTCTAGTATCCGGACCAGTACCATGGCTTAGATAGGAAGTGTCTCCTAAAAAATGAATATGTTGAAGGCTTCGAGTTCTAACCTATGGAACTGTTGAGAGGTGACTGGATAATGAGGGCCCTAACCAATTAACTGTTTGATCCATTGATGGAACCACAGGTTCATGACATTGTGGGGAAGTGGTCTGAATTAGAATGTCATCTTAGTTAGAGTTTCATTGCTGTGAAGAGACACCATGACCAAGACAACTCCTATAAAGGACAGCATTTAGTTGGGGCTGGCTTATAGTGTCAGAGGTTCAGTCCATTATCATCATGGCAGGAAGCATGGCAGCGTACAGACAGACATGGTGCTGGAGGAGGAGCCCAGAGTTCTGCATCTTGATCCAAAGATAGCAGAAAGAGACTGTGTACCACACTGGGTATAGCCTGGGCTTATATATGAGACCTCAAAGCCCACCTCTGCAGTGACACACTGATTCCAACAAGGCCACGCATCCTAATATTACCACTCCCTATGGGCCAGGCATATAACACTCTGAGGGCCACTGCTATTCAAATCACCACAGAGATAATGCCTCACTGGAGGGAGTAGGTCACTTGTGATTGTAAGATCATGTTCCCAGTCACCTCTCTCCTTCTTGGCTCTTCTGGCTATCATGAGGTGTGAGGCTTTGCTCTGGCCCCATGCTGCCCTCCACCCAGAGAACATGCCAGAAACAGCAAATCCGAGTGCTCCTCAACCAAAACCTGTGAAACCGTGAGCCAAGTGAATCTCTCCTCCTTTAGATATTGGGTTCATTGTCTCCTCACTGGCGACAAACAGCTGGCATGGCAGCTGGCTTTGTCTGGAGTCATTAGGCACCTTCTGTAAGTTCAAGGCCTGGCTGAGCTATGGAGGGAGTTCAAGGGCAGCTTGGAGAGATCCTGAGTCCAAGTCAAAAAGTCGAAAAGAGGGCAGATGGTGTAGCTCAGTAGTGGAGTGCTTGCCTCGAATTCGTGAGGCCCGGGATTCAATCTCTAGTATCAGGAAGGAAGGTGATAAAGGGAAGAGACTGGGTGGAATGGAAGGAAAGGAGGGAGGGAGAAAGGGAGAAAGCAAGGGAGGGAAGAAGGGAAAGGAAGGAAGGAAGGAAGGAAGGAAGGAAGGAAGGAAGGAAGGAAGGAAGGAAGGGAAAGGGAAAGGGAAAGAGAAAGGGTAAGGAAAGAGGATATGAGGAAAGTAGGAAATGGGAAGGAGAAATGGAAGAATAGAGGAAGTGATGGAGGAGTAGGGGAGAGAGGTTGGGGGTAGGGAACAAGGAGGGAATAAGAAGGGGGTAAGGGAGTTGTGATGTAGTGTATCTATGTCCAGGCCCAGCTACCCCAGTGTCCTTCTAGAGCAGGCTATCCTATGCATCAGACACTCGGAGACAACTGTGGAACCAACAGAAGGCTGAGGTAGAGCCGGTACCTGAACCTCGGTGCCTTGTGGTCTCACCCTCTCCTCTCTCTTGCCACTCTCCCTCCTCTACAGCTTGCCCGCTATACCAAGGAAGGCTTCCTGCATTTGGGTGCTCTGGGGACCACCACTCTCCTCCCCGATACCCGCTGCCTGGTGGACAACTCTAAAAGTCGGTTGCCACAGCTCCTGGATTGTGACAAGGTCAAGAGCAGCTTGTACAAGCGATGGAACTTCATCCAGGTGAGCTCTCTGGGGACAGGGCTGGGGGAGGAGCAAGTGCAGATGCTACCAGCCATGGGATGGCCACAGGAGGGCCACAGGATGGCTGGTGTCCCCAAGACTCCCCATAGAGCGCCACTGGGGCACAAGATCTGTCAACCCTAGGCCAAGATCATGGACCCAGTTCTAGAAGGACTGGAAGAAGGATTTCTGAGAGACATAGTCTGCCTGATTCCATCGCGGTATTGGATACAGACTTAGGCTAACTCTGTAGAGTGGATTCCTGAACACTACTAAGCACTCTCCGACAGGATTGAGAAAGTCAGATCTCAAATAACTCTGGAAATTTCTCTGTGTGTGCCTACTCCTGTTACATACGTGTGGAGGTCAGGAGCAAACCCTCAGACACTAACTACCTTCTTTGTTATTAGTTTGTTTTTTTAAGATTTTATTTTCTGTGTGTGTGTGTGTGTGTGTGCCCATGAGTGCAGTGCTCATAGAGGCCACAAGGGGGTTTTGGAGCCTCTGGAGCTGAGGTTACAAACTGTGGGAGCTGCACAATGGGTGGGCTGGGAACTGAACTTAGAACCTCTGGAAAGCCAGCAAGTGCTGTTAGCAGCTGAGCCATGTCTCTACCTGCTCCGGCTCCTACCTTGGTGGAGTTGTTGTTGTTGCTTTACATTTGTTTTTGAGACAGAGTTCTTCCTGGCTTGGAACTTGCCAAGCAGGCTAGGCTAGCCATCCAGTGAGTGCATATTACTATCCCCAGCTTTCTTATATAAGTGCTAGCAACCAAATAATCAGGTCTGAATGCTTACATGGCAAGTATGTGCACACACACACACACACTCACACACACACAGCAGTCAGAGGACAATTTGTGGGGCTTAGTTCCTCTTCCATCATATGGGTCTCAGAGATAGAGCTCAGGTCGCCAGGCAAGCTATATCACCATCCTAACCCCAGGAAACCTCTATTCTGTCCCAGTCACCACCACTCAAACTGGGTGACCCCCCTTGGGCCCTCCCAATGTGGGAATGTGAGGGTGGGATTTATTCCTCCCAAGAGACGCCAGAAATACAGGAGCTATGGTAAGGTTTCTCTGTCTGCCTCTCTCCTTACTTCTTTTCTTTCTTTCCTCTCAGAATGGAGCCATCATGAATAAGGGCACGGGGCGCTGCCTAGAGGTGGAGAACCGGGGCCTGGCTGGCATCGACCTAATCCTTCGGAGTTGTACAGGACAGAGATGGACAATCAAGAATCCCATCAAGTAGATGGATGGAAGGAGGGCACATGGAGCCCAGACCCAGGGCGGGGCCTGGCCATTCTCAGAACCAGCTACATGGTGGAGAGATAGCAGGCACCCAAAGGATGCTCTGTGGACCTCTCAGGGCCCCTCCAGGGCAGCCCTGGATAAAGATGTCAAGTCCCCCTCAGGCATTCCACCTGTACACTTTGAAGATCTCCCCCTTACTCTCATCTGGGGACCAGGGGGTACAACTTCTGGGTACTAAGGGATGAGGCTTCTCATCTCTCTCCACTGTATCATCTCCCACCCCAGCATCAGCAGCTGGGTCTGGCAGGGTCCTCTCTCTCTCTCTCTCTCTCTCAATATCTCTCTCTCTCTCTCTCTCTCTCTCTCTCTCTCTCTCTCTCTCTCTCTCTCTCATCCTTTGCTGCAGCTGCTTGTGTAACTCGCCCTGGACCTCCAAGACATGAGGGACCATGATGTCTTTAGCCACATCTAGCTCTTCTCTCTTGGAGAAGGAAGCAATGCGACCCCAAGACTCCATTTCTCCTGAGGACACTTTGGCCCAGAAGCCTGTTCGTATATCAAGGCAGTAGCCACTCAAGACCTTCCCAGCCATCCAAAAGGTGGCTTTGGGACAACAGTTTTGGATCCCTCTGGATTGTTTTCAAGGTTTTCTGTCTAAGTTACCTGCAGTCCTAAATATGAACAGCATCAGCTGTTGAGCCTGTGTCTAGAGGGAGCTGGAAGTCAGCTGAGCATTCTGGATGCTCCCAGCACCTGGCCAGTACAGCTCAGCCTGCCAAGGACAAGGTGCCCTGGTTTCATGGAGCAGGAAGGGTCTTCCATGCAGGACCATAAGGGTGGAAGAGTCAGCCTAGCTATGGGCACAGGGCCCTCTGCAACGCTTATTGCTCAGTTCATCTTGCCCCATGCTTTGTTGGCTGATGGGGGACAGAAGCGGCCATTTCCTCTTTTAAGAGTGATTGCTTCTTTCCAATTGCCCTCTGGTTAGGGTGCACTTATAAATCAGAGTTAATATATGGATGCGTCTGCATGCACGGGAAAGTGAGAGTGCGCCTGCCTGCGTGATGTGTGTGGCTGGGTGTGTGTTTGTGTGCTTGACCGTGTGAGTGTGCTCAAGCAGTAGTCTTGGGCTTGTAGCTTCATTGCTCAGTGGATAGGGACAAGGATGCCTAGAAGAATGGGGGCAGGGGAGGCATGTCCCTGGATCACGGGCCCAGAGGACATGGCTAGGTCTTACGTGCTAGAGTACCCTTTCTCTATCACCTTCCCCAATCCACTACTGTCCTTGGCTATCTCCTGCCTAGAGCCAAACCCTGTAGGTGCCCAGTGTGGGATCCAGTATCTCATTTGGTGGTATCTTTATTGGTGATCATCTCCTCGCCCCATCTCCTCTACTTGTGAAATAAATATGTTAGCAATCCCACAATGCAACCTTCAGCCTCACCTACTCTTTGGGTTTTGTACTATTCGCTTTTGTTGTTGTTACTCCACAGCTGGGGTTCAAATCAAACTCAAGCACCCTACCTGGGCAAACTACATATCCCCAACAAATGAGCTTGACTCTTCCCATACCCAGCGGCAGTAGGAGAATTTCTGAGGCATGGTGGAGCGTTTTGGGGGGGGTTTAAAGGCAGTTGATGCTTGTTTTGTTTTGAGACAAAGCCTCACTCTGTAAAGACCAGGGATAGAAATACTCTGACAAAGAAGCAGGTTAGGGGAGGAAAGGGTTTATCTGGCTCACAATTCCAGGTTACGATTGATCACTTCAGGGAGGTCAAAGCAGGAATCTGAAGCAGCTGGTTACATGTGTGTCCACAGTCAAAGTCAGGAGAGAAATGAATGCATGTGTGCTTGCTTGTGCTCAACTCAGCTTCTCTGCCTTTATACGGTTCAGGACCTCCTGCCTAGGGAATGGTATCGCCCACAGTGGGTCGGGACTTCCCAAATCAATTAACTACATTAAGGCAGTCCTCATAGACCTTTCCATAGTATAACCCAGTATAGACAATTCCCATTGTGACTCTCTTTCTGGGTGATTCTAGATTGAGTCAAGTTGATAATTAAAGATGATCATCATTGCCACCATGCCTGTGTGGATTTGGTCTTCTTAAAGGTAAATAAATAAGCATACAAACAAATTCTCACAGATTAGGGCAAAGCCTACCTACTCTTACACACAGCATCTTATTCAAGCCTGGACAGAACTCAGTACTTGATACTAGCTCACCCTCCCCCTTGATGACCTCAGATTAAGAAGGCCAAGTTGTTCAGAAAGCGGTGAGCCTGGTGCTGAGACCTCGCCTGGATACCTGGTCTCCCCCTTCTATTGCCTTCAGCAACTTCAACTGTCTGTGGTGCACACAATAACTCCGGGTATTCATGGAGAAACTGAACCCTATGAGATGCTTTGTTAGGGTCATGGTGGGCCCCATGTCTCTTTTGTAGGAAGAAGTCAGGAAGTGCTATCTTAGTTGATGTCCCAACACACACACACACACACACACACACACACACACACACACACACACACAGAAGAGAGAAACAGAAGCACAGATGCATACACAGACAGATAGACAGATACAGATGTGGATACAGATACAGATGTAGATTTAGTTATCAGTGGCCATATTCCTCATGTGCCCTTTGAGAATTGGGCTATGACAGCATACTCATGGACAATGTTTATCTTCAGTTGTCACCTTAAGTACTAGAGTCTGAGAACTTTGGGTTTGTGGAGCAATGGAGATGGGGAGGAGAGAGTTGGCAGGTCAGAGAACATGCAAACTACATTTGGGCTCCTGTATAAAACCTCCTGAGGTTGCATCCATGTGGAGTACAATGGTGAATGTCATAGGACTTCAGTGCCACAAGGCAGTGGGGCAGGATGTCTGTTTGTCCGGCTGGCTTGCTATGTGGTGGAGAGTGTTGGGTTTGGTCTCTTATGGGGCTAATTCCCTATGTGTCCCAGGGTCCTGGAGTTGAGTTGGCCATTCCTGTAAGCACTACATGTCAATAACTTTCTCCCAAAGCCTGGGGATCCCTAGAGAGACCTACCAAGGCACAGGGTCAGCAGCCAGGTCATCCTAGGGTTCTACCTGGTGACATAGGTTGAAAGTGACTAGAGGCCAAGGAAGAAGAGAGGAACTGGTGAAGCCAGGGAGAGGGGATGGAAGAGAAAGGCCGAAGTGCTTTGAATGTGAAATGTCCCTAGTGGGCTCATGTGTTTGAACACTAGGTCCCCAGCTAGCAGAAGGTCCTTTGAGGGTGGTAAGACCTTACTGGAGGATATGAGTCATTGGAGGTGGGCTTTTAAGGCCTTTGTTTTTATCGGGCTACATGTGCGCATGCCCACATTTGTGTGTGCATGTGCACATGCAATATGGAACATGTGGAGGTCAGAGGATGATCTTAGGTGTTAGTCCTTACCTTCTACCATGTTTGAGGCAATGCCTCTTGCTGTTCACCACTATTTACATCAGGTTACCTGGCTCACGACCTTCTGGGAACTCTCTTGCCTCTGCCCCCCATCTCACTGTAGAAGCACCAGGATTACAGACATGTGCTACCATAGCCAGCTTTACATGGGTCTGGGGGATCTTGTGCAGCAAGTGCTTAACCCACTCAGCTATCACCCCTGAAATTGCTATGGTGCAAGACATCCCATCAACTCTCTGCTTCTTGACTATGGATGCAACGTGCCCAGGCCGCTCACACCCCTGCAGCCATGCCTTTCCAGCCATGATGGACTGCATGCCTTCTCAAACCATGAGCTGACACTGTTTTGTTGTTGTTGTTGTTGTTGTTGTTGTTGTTTTTAAATTTAAAATCAGGGGTTCTGTTACAGCAAGAAGTAAATTTGGTAACACAGAGCCCTGAGGGAACCTTCAGTCCTAAGTCCTTGGGAGTGTTGGGATGTCCCATAGGTGCCATCTTGCATAGTAATGGGAGAGCAACAAGTTCCAGGCACACAGCTCGAAGAAAGCTTGTGGTCATTTACCAAAGTCTGGTATATGGCAAATTTTGACAAGTGCTATATCATTTTCTCGCTCTCATGATCACCTTGACCTCAGAGATGGGTATGGCTGAGGGTGCTGGGCTGTGGTAGTCCAGTTCACTGCCCCCCTTCTTCCTCATATTGACCCCCCCATACTCCTGTCTATGACCCTTTCTTGGTCTTTTGTTCATTTGATTCCTTAATCTCATAAATAGTATTTCTGGTAAATGCCCAAGTTATCAAAGCCTGTGTCTTTGAAGCTAGGTGTTGTGTCTCAAGTGTTTTTGTGATGACTGTGCTTAAACTCTGGGGCCTAGAAAAGTAAGGACATGAAGATGGGCAGGTGATGCACGTCTGTGATTCCCAACCTTCAGGAGGCTGAGGCAGGAGGTTAGTCATGAGTTTGAGACCAGTTGTATTGTTAGCACCAGGCCAGCTGGGAATGTGTAGTGAGACCCAGTCTCAAAAGCCATGAAGGAGAAACAGTAAAAGGAAGGAAGAAAGGGTGGGAGGGAAGGATGGAAGGCAGGAAGGAGGAAAGGGGGAGGGAAGGAAGGAGGGAGAGAGGGAAGGCAGGAAGGAGGGAAGGTGTGATGAAGAGAAAAAGGAGAGGGGAAAAGAGAGATAAAGGAAGGAGGAGAGAAAAAGAGAAGGGCGGGAAGGGCAGGGAAGGGGAGAGCCGCAGACAAGGCAGAAGCAGCAGTGTAGAAACTGGAGGTCATCTTGCCATCTCTACTGTGGTTTCTACACTCATCTTGTTCACATCTTGTTCACCTAGTGCATTTCCCACTACTACAGAAAAACATTCCCATTTCACAAAGTGAGCCCCACAAGGCCAGGCCGCTCTGCTAGTGCCCTGAAAGCATAGATTGTCCCCAGTTTATAGGCCAAGTTCCTTCCCTGCACCTCTCTGGACCACTTCTATGGGACAGATTAATGACAGCAGGAGGGGGCGGAGCTGTTGGAGCCTGCTGAGGTGGCCAGGTGGTTCGTGAAGCCTGCTC